AGCCCACCCCAGAGATCCTGAAGAACTACATGGATGTGAGTAACGCCCCTCCTGACGACCACCCCCCCGCTGTGGCAGACCCCAGCACGATGCTGACCGGGCAGCCATCACTTCTGGGGGTACCGGTCCCGGGGGGGTGGTGGGACATGCCAGCCTCACCACCCCACCACAGCTGGGAAGGTGAAGGAGGGAGAGATGTTGATCCCTTAGGAGAGATTCATGCACCCCCACAGCTTGGTGGGTGGTTGCCGAAAGTTGCTTCCCATCATTGCTAAACTAAAAATGCTAATACTAATAATCGTAATAATAATAATAAACACCCCACTGCCACCCGAGTGGAAGCTTTGCAGCTTCTGTGACCTATTTCCTTTCCCCTTTGTCACGAATTAACAGTTGCAAAGAGGGACCTGCTCGCTTGCAGTCCTTCCTAGCATCTTCTGGCCAGTTTGGGCTCCACTTTCTGCAAGACAGGAGCATAAAAATCATGCTCCACTCCTTGGGGTGTTGGGGCATAAAAGAGCGAGCATGGGGCACGGGGAGAGGGCTCGGACTGGGCACCAGCTTGCTATGGGACTGGGGATGCAGCACCCTTCCTCTTGCTATCCTTCATCTTCTGCATGGCCTTGGGAAAAGCCACCCTGCACCTCCACCTTCTTCTCAGCAGCTTAGGAAGCAAAGGGACCTTCTGGTGGAAGCAGCAATAAAAAGAGAAGCTGTACAAAGGACATGACATTTGCCCTTGCCCAGCTGCCAGACACGTGTGGATTTTCCTATTTCTGGGTTCCCCACCGGGTACTCTTGTGGCTCTTGGGGGGATGGGATGCGAGCACTGGCCAGCAGAATAAAGCTGGTGCCAGATATAGGGGCATTAATTCAGGATATTCCCCCCTGCTCCCCTTCCCCAGGAGCTCTTGTCACCTAGCCAGCACTGTCCCACCAGGGCTGTGCTGGGAAGGGCCACCGGTGTTTTAATCGGCAGTGTTGAAAGCCAGGGCGCTAGCGGTTGCGCCACGGCGTTGTCTCTTGCAACCACAGCTCGGGCGGCCGTTTGGGAAAGGACTCTGCTCCCTTGTCACAGGGGGACCAGCCCAACCTTCAGTGGGAGATAAGGGACCGCTGGGTCCCTCCCGGCCCGGCTGAAAATGCTCTTGCTGACGGAGGAGCTGTGGGATGAAAGGCACAACCTCCCCTAGACCACCCTGTATGGTCCCCACCAGCCCCTGAGACCCCTCGCGGGTTTGTGTATATGAGGTATGGAGCCCCTATACCGGGGCTTAATTTTCAAGCCCCAGCAATAATTACAGAATCACTGGAAGCAAATGCTGCCTCCCCATTATGACTAATTGCAATGGATTATTATTTACTCAGCGAGCAACCCCTGCAAACTAAGTGCACAGGAGGTGAGCAGCTTTGATAATCCTGTTTTCTTGCCTGCCCCCCCCCCCCCCACCGAACTTACATGTGGGACGTGAACCCCCCCCAATTAAATATACGGGGGGCTTGGAAAGGCCCCAGGCTGACTTCCCTTGCTAGCAGCCTTCTCTCCAGGGCCCTGATCCAGCTCCTTAAGCACAACATGGCTCTCTGCCCCTTTGGGAGGCCTGGGGAAAAATGGGTCCGTCCAGGACCTACCGAGCATTCCCTGTTCATCCTCTCCCCTCCAGATAGAGGGATGCCCTGCAAACATCTCAGCCGCCCAGGTTTCTTCCAGTCCCAGCAGAGATGCACTTGCAGGGCAGAGGGGTATCCATCGGATACCTGTGC